CGTTCCATTTCTATTTTTTAAAATTTTTATCTGGTATTTTAAGTTTAATTTAATTTGGAAGGCAAGTTTTTAGTTTTAGTTAGTTTATTAATTTACTTAGGTTAGTTTCGGAGTTAATTTAGTTCAACTTCGGAAGCAAATTTTTTAGTCTTTATCAGTCAATTTTTTAGTTTAGTTTTGTAGCAGTTTTTCATTAGTTAAGGGACACTAACACTAAACAGAAAAATATGATTTTCGCAGCAAAAATTATCAAAAATTGTTGAGAAATTCTACACATATTCGATTATGATAATCAAAAAATATATTTGAATATTTTTATCATTAGACTTCGAATGAGGTGTATCGTTTTCATTTGACACATAAAATACTACCCTAACAAATCTGATGAATGAGGAGAACGGAAAGAATCTAAAAGCAGGCCTTAGCATGTATTGCTACAGCAAGGGGGAAAAAAAAAAAAAAAAAAAAAAAAAGCATCCTTATAATTTATCTTCTACTCGCCCTTCACGTAGTTGGTTCTCAGGATGTTGCCATTTGGCCTAGCATAAGATCTTGAATTGATCTTTCAAATTTAACCTGTCTGTTATTGATTTTAAAATTAAGTTATTTAAAAGTAAAAAGCAGAATTTAATGATATAAACCTTTATTTTATTCTCTTAATAATCTAAGTGATTGTGCTGTAAATTATTTAAAGTTCACCGGAAGTTGTGCTTTAAACAAAAACTTAGTTATTTGCAAGTTCTTTATTCTTGCGCGGGAAATAACTAATAGTAGCATTTCTGTAGCTTAGTTTTAAGTTAGAGTTAGAACTTAATTTTCCATCTCACGATGGAGTAATTTCGAAAGTAAGCTTGAGAGTTACTGAAGTGATAAAAAAATCCTGCGATCGCAAGGAACACGCACTTTTTTCCAGCATAGGAACAACTGAATTAAAAAAAAAAATTAAATATATAGAAATATGATATAAAAAACTATGTTTGTGCAATAAGTACAACAAAAATTAAATAAATTTGAAACTGTACATTTTTACATTTATTCAGTACGACACAAAATTAAAAAAAACGCTATATCAATTAAATATTATATATCATATTAAATGTACTTTACAATAATAGAAAAGTGAAAAAAATACAACAGAGATTTTTAAAATTTTGTATTTAAATTAATTAATCTATTATTATTATTATTATTATTATTACTATTTGAGTTTTCCTTTACATCATAGATTTGGTATATTAATAACAGACAAGAAATTTGAAAAATTCTAACCATTTATTTTAATTATGACCGCGCAGTTATTTAGGAAATTAATGAATTAAAATTCTCCGCTTTAAAAAATAAATACTATAAAAATTCTTTTATAAATTAAAATAATTTATCAAGCAGAATTCAAAATATAAGTGCATGATTTATTTTTTGACCGAATATTTACTATACATCTGGATTTATTAATTAAATGAATTGTCCAATTAATTTATAAGAACTAGCTGTATTGCTTTTAAATAGCTTAGATTGTTAATCAACAACAAACACAATAAATTCGAAAAATAAATATCTTACATTTTGCCGAATGGCAACAGATTCAAAGAAAAAAGTGAAACAAGGTATTTACAATGGATTACATTTAAAGTGAATTAACGCAAAATTGTGTTTCCAGACTAACAGCCCTTCTGAGCTAATAATTACATGAAATGTTAATTACAATAATAATTACTAAATATATGTGTTAACTATAACAATAATAATTGCATAATTTACCAGTAGAATTCAAAATTGAAATGCATGATTTATTTTTTGACTGAATACTTACTATACGTCTGGGTTTATTAACAATATAATTGTCCATATTATTAACAATACAATTGGGCATACTTAATAATTATATTTCCAACCAGAATTTAATTAATGCATGTTCCTTAATTATAAAAATGGCATTAAAAATGTTTTTAGCCTCATAACATTAAATTATATTGGGCTCACAGGAGAAATCACCATAATAATTGCTCATGGATTATCTCCTAAATTTCATGAAATACTTGCAAATGTATATGAAAATGATTGCAATAAAAATTAAGAACGATAACTCGGTAATATATGTGCTATGATAATAACTACATAATATATGTGCTAATAATAGGAATTATATGTGTTAATAGTAATAACAATGAGCTATATGTAGTAACTATATGGGCTAGCTATATGAGCACTATATAGTAACTATATGAGCTAGCTGTATTAAGTACATAATATATGTACTAACAATAAAAAAATTAAGAAGAAAAAGTTGAAAATAATTTAACGAAGAATAATTAATTTCATTTCAAATAAAAACTGAACGATTCTATATTGTGATTTGCAAACATGGCATTAAAAATATTTCGTTAATTATTATAATGTTGCAAATGTAAATAATTATGAAGTGAATGTATTGTAAATTTTTCGTATTTTAAATTATGTCAGTTAAATAGGTTTAAAGAATCAAATAAGAATTAAATTAATTAGAAATGCTTTTAAATCGCTGTTTATTAAGCAGTTATAATATAGGAGATAAATTCAAAGTCTAATGCTTTGCGCATATGCCAAGTCACAGGAATGATAAATGCATAAACAAGTAACATAACGAAAAGTAATATAACGGTTCAAGTATTTTGGAAATAATTCCGCTAAAAACGCTTTTAACTGAAAATCGATAAATTAAAAATAAATAAATGGGTTACAGAGTTAATTCATTCATCGACTGAATGGCGCTACATCGCAGATCCTACAAAATCTGGCGTTATCTGCCTTTCTACCGACCTAGAATTACGGGAAAAGTTGTATCATCTCCGTATCTCAAGAATATTCACAAAGATTCTTATGGCATCATCTTTTCCCATCATGCTTCAATCTCGCGAACTCTAATTGGTTCACGGCACTGACGTCACGTATAAACACACTACATAGTACACGGCAAGAAAAAGGTTACAACGTTATCGATCTGCCGCTACATTTTTACGCTGGAGTGAGTTGCAGGTATTACTTAATCATTTGACCTTCAAGAATAACTTCCTACGTCATTGCCTGCGGACGCACTGAGGAGACAGACATAAAAAAAACTGTATCTGCATTTTGTTTTAACATTCCGAGATATTTTAGCAGGTATTCTAAAATATTATATTTTCAGCGAAATACCAGCAAAGAAACTATTAGTTAATATTTGAAAGAGATAACCAGGCCACTTAAAATAAAATGCCGTACTTTTTATACCAAATCAAATAATAATATTACGATGTTTTAAATAAATAATATCAAGTACCAATAAATATAAATATTTATACCATTTTTTACAGTTTCTATCAAAATCAGATTCAAAACCACTACTTTTTATTACAACTGACAAAGATTAGAATTCTGTAGATTTTACCAGCTAGGAGTATGAAAATTTTGCCACTTAAGAATTGCATAAAATTTGTCTATCACCGTGACTAGAAATAAAATTTATGTTCTACTAAGAAGATTGTCTGTTTTGTAAATTACTGCAAAATACATTACAAGACGTTGAATAATTTAGGCTGAGCTAATCAGCCTAAATTATTCAACGTCTTAATTATCCTTAAATTTGTAATCGAATTTACAGTTAAAAATACGACATATTTGGAGAATTTAATCGTCATCAATAAATACAATCACAGACGATGTTATCGTTACTTTATTTTAGTCAACATGAAAAAGGCAAAACTGAAACAAAAATAAAATAATAGCAATTAAAATGCCTTAATGTATCTAAACAGTGGAGTGTTTCTCCAATAAATAGTCCCCCCTTTTTTTTATGTTTGACTTTTGTGACACCCCAATGTCACAAAATTGGCCTTATACTGTATTTACTTGCGTAATAGTCGCCCTCCCCCTAATTTGAAGCAGGGAAAAAAATCTTCAAAAGTGTAATAAAAAATAATTAATTAGTTTATTTCATTACTTTAAATTCAATTTACTTTTTAGTCTAATTAAAACGATCTTTCCCCCCAATTCTGAATGATGGATAACACAAAATATAAACAGATCTTTTGCAAATCAAAATATTGTTTCCTAGTTTGGTATTTAGTTTTCATTGCGTGTATGAATTTTACAGAAAGTTTATAAAAATTAGTTTCACTAACGTTCAAATAGTAGCGTTCATTAAGAAAAAGAATGCCTGTATACTTGCTTTAAATTTAAAATGTCTGGGAAAATGTAAAAATTTTAAATTGTATCAAATATACCGAATATAACCAATTTCACGATTCAGTAGTTTTAATTATAAAGTTCATTTCATATATTTTTAATAAATATAGGTGTATTTTAAAAAATCGTATTTTTAAATTTTAAAACTGAAATTTAATTAATTTTTTATTAAAAAATAATTTTTAATTGTATACTTAAAATCAATATTTACTATTAAAACATTGCACTTAATTAAAAAAAATTTATTTCTAAAATAAATAACCGTTAACTGCATTCTTAAATTAATAATCAAATTTTAAAAACTTAAATAACATTTAAATTTGTGTTCTTAAACTCCTAACTGTATTGATAAAAAAATAATTGCTATTACTCTTAAAATAAAACAATTATTTTAATTAAATTACTATACTATGTAATTAAATACTTAAAAAAATAATTACAATTATTAACTGCATTCTAAAGATAAATAATTATGAACTGTATTCTTAAAAAATTGTATACTTAAATTATTAATTAAATTTAAAAGCTATATTCTTAACTATTAAAATGTAAACTGAATTAAATTAGTTAGAATTAAATTAGTTAATTTAAAATTTTAAAACTGAAATTTGTATTGAAATAAAATTTAAAATTTTGCTTTCGTTAAAAATGTTTACTATTGCTTTAAATATCTACCTCTTTCTTCTGATTATTATTATATGAAAAATTCGAGAACATTGAGATAAGTCCTATCTGTAACATTTTATTACGATTACTTTGTTTTCCTGCTGGCAACAGAAACAACTATTTTATAAACCTACCTTCTTTTCTCATAATATCCAAACACTACATGCGGGAATTAAATCCATTCCAAAACAAATCCCGTTGAAAGCCGCAGCCGTCAAAACACTCGCAACTCATGAGAGTAAACACACGTTACCGCGAAACACATACACACACACGCACCAATGATTAACTTCCGTTCTGATCTGACACGAGAACACCTGTCATTGCAACTCCACTCGCCGGCACATCGGATGCCAACGGCAAGCTGGCGTACGTCTGCAGTTACAAGAATCCCTCGCAAAACTGCAGAAACAACGGAGACCGCCTTTCTCGGCGGCTTTCCAATTTGGCGAAAATGGTAGGAAAATGTCGCCATCCGCGATATTTCACTCACGTTGGCAAACGTGCTAAAGGTTACTGGAATCAACTGGGAATGTGAATGATAGTTGATATGAGAAGGGAAGAGTCAAGTGGCCGTTGTATGTGTGAGCGGCTCCAATTTTTACTTTGCTTTTTTTAATTCTATTTTTTATCTTATTTTTTTTTTTCGTCGTTGGAGTTTCGTAGAGATGTTTCGCGATGGCAAGGGCACCGGAATCATTAGGCCACTGGAGCGCGGCTCTTTTTTTCATGCCACGTTGCTTTTTTGTCGTTGATTGTTTTGTTATTCTTCTCGGTGAGATTTATTTACAAATCACTGCTCTAACCATCCGCTCTACGGATTTTTCAAGAGGCTGTGCTGCCTCTTTGAACACTGGATGACAATTTATTACTATTGACACTCGCAATAGTAATTAATTAATAATTATAATATTAATACTATTGACACTCGCAAAATACCTTTTGAACTACAAAAAAATTATTGACAATTTTTTTTTTTTTTTTTTTTTTTTTGTAAAATATTTATTGACTCTCTCGAAATCCTCTAGGAACTTGAACAAGTGACGAACTATTACATCTATATTTATTGACTCTTTGAACTAAAAAAAAAAAAGAATAGAAAAAGAAAAAAAATTTGACAGATTATTATATATATCTTTCCTGATTCTCAGTTTTTGAATTACAAGTTAAATAAAGTAAAATAAAATAAACTACTGATGAATTCCACTAATTGTCTTCATTAAAAACAGTTACGATTAGCTCACTGTTAATTTGAGAATTAAACCTCCAGGAATTGAAGATATAAAACATAGCATCATATAGTTAAAACGAGCTGTTAGCAACAATAATGTTAAATTAGTAAGGCTAGGTTAAGTTACTTGAATATGGCGAAGAACGCTAAGCCTATCTGTTTCAGGGAATGAACGCCTTCGTAGAGGACTTTGTGAGAGAAACTGGTTTGTATTCCCGTTACAGATGGGGAAAATTAACCTTGCAGGGGTCTGTTCGCTTGGGATCAAACCCGGGTTGAACTCCTAATATTCAACATCTTAACCACTCGGCCACTGATATCTAAATTTCTGAATAGTAGAGGAATACTTGCTACGATTGTAGAGACATTAGGTTTTTCGAAATCAGTTATGCCCTCGCCGGGATTTGAACCAGGAACCTTCCAAGTGCTAGTCGGATATGCTATCCACTTTCAGTACGACAGCATGCATAGGGAAATACGATAACTCCTTTCTTTCCCATTTAAAGGTCGACTGGGAAGAGAGGCGAGATCCAGAAGATCAAATCCAAATAGTAACAAATTATCGGTTTAATTTTTACATTTAGACTTTTCGATACCAGAGACTGTGATAAATCAGGTAAGCTTTCGCCCGGATTCGAAACATAGATACTCTAACTGCTAACTTGACAAGATTTACATCCGAAGAATCTGCGTGGGTGAATGCGGGAATTCCTTATACAATATTATTTCATCGTAAATTATAACCACCTACAGAAGCCAAAAAATTATAACCGGCTTTCTTATGAGAGTTTGAACTTGCTTACACTGTTCAAATGTAAGTTGCAAATATTGATCTTTAGTGCTGTTTCTAAGTTAATTTCTTCATTTCAGATTGTGTTTAATTTTCTAATATTTACATCATGGTCCTTCTGTTTTGAATACTGATTTAATTTTCACTACGAAGTGAACTCAATCTTTGAAGTTTAAGGAGCTTTAAAATACAGATAAATTATCAATAGCATTTTTATATTAAAATTCAACAAATATTCTCTATTCGTATAAAGCAAATATAAAATTCTATTCTTAGAATTTATATCTGCTTTTAGAATTTAAATGATATTGTAAATTAGTTCGCAGCAATAATAATAATAATTATTATTATTTCTTTGCAATTAGAATTTCTTAACTAAATTTTAAATTTATATTTGCTTTATACGAATAGAGAATTTTATATTTGTTCTATACGAATAGAGAATATTTGTAAATTCAAATGTCATTCCTTGCAGCAACGGCTACTTTCTTGTGAAACACTTTTGTATTAGTTATAATATGGCTTATACTTTTCTTGTATTTCTTTTAACCTAATTAAAAAAGTTGACAAAGTTAGCTACGAAAAATACTAAAAGCAAAATGCAAGGGATAAAAATACTGATAGCAGACGATTTAACTAGAATTTGGAAGAAGTTTTTAAACATAACAATTAAGTAATTTAATTCTAAGCACACCTTATTCTTGAAAATAAATCAAGTGTACAATCACTAATATTCCGTTCTCCTGTAATTATTCATCTTCATTTTGTCTCGTAAAATGCGTTCTTTTTAATCCCATGTATATTCCTTCATTATTAATAATGATTATTCCTCGGTTTTCGTTTTGAATACTGATATAATTTAGGTAAGCCAATCGGATTAAAGGTGAATTTGAGTTCGTTAACAGTAAGCCACCGTAATCGGGCGAAAGAAAGAGCAGAAAAGAGGCGTGGCCCAAGAAGCGGGCATTGTGAAATCACGTGACCCAGAAATGACGTCATGTATTTAATAGTTTCGCTTGTGGCAACAACGATGTTTTAAGAAGTTTCGTTTTTGATTTTGCGTTAACGATGATTGTTTTAAATTTTGTTAGTGGGGACGACGATTTTATCTTAAACCACGTTTTGAAAGAGATGATATCATTTTTTAATTATTTTTCCTTTATTAATTTAATCAAATAACTGTAATTAATCTATAATTCCTTTATTAGTTTTTAATTGTAATTAATGTATTTAATCTGTAAGTATTTTTGATTGATACAATTATTTGCTCCCTAGACCACGCCCCATTTCTATGACGTTACTTCCGTTACCCGGTTATGGTGGCTTAGCATTTTCGTTAATCCACAGCTGATTTGTAAAAGCTTTATCAAAAAGCTGATAGGCCAGCAAATGCGAAAGCATTGAAGATTCTACTAAATAGTGAAAGCATTTTGCTACATACTCTAATTGAATTTTACCAGTCTGGGAGAAAACGGACAAAATTCAAGAAGAAAAAGGCTTAAAAATATTAATAAGTTGAACTTATGATTACTACATAAACAATAAACTAAAATATCATAAAAATTAAATAATAAAACAAATCAAAAGAATTAAGTGCAGTAATAAAACAAATAAAAAGTGAGTAAATTAGTAACAAATTTTAAAGAAATATCGTGAAAATTAAATGAAATAATAAAACAATTGAAAGCGGAGTAAATTAATAATAAAAAGAAAAGCATCAAAAATAAAAGAAAGGTAAATATTTTGTACGCATTCTTTGATATCAGATAAAACTGTATTTTGGCTTCTAATCTACTTAAAGCTTCCTTAATCAGATACATACATCCTAAAAAAATACTTCATGATTGGATTGCATCTCGGTATGCGGTTCATTTCAAAAATGCTCGAATTTTCTCTCAGATTTTTCTCTTCCGAAGAAAAGTGAGTAATGCATTCATCATCCAATACCAATAAACAGGGCTACGCTAGGAAGTTTCCCTCCCGGTGCAATCTCTGCGGATCCTAAATTTTACTGCCCGGTGAATCCCTAAATTCTAAAAATTTTGGCGCCCCTAAATTCTGCAGCCGATTGAAAAATTATTCTTTAATTATATTCCCTTAAATTCTATAATTTTGCTGCTCGATGCTTCTCTAGATTCCAAAAATTTCATTGGCCCTAAATTCTGCCACCGGCGCGACCGAGCTGTTTGCACCGGTTGTGGCTCCAGCCCTGTTAAAATCATTTACAGCATTAACTGCTCAAGAAAACATTGTGATTAAGTTATACAACAAAGTACGGGAGTTCATCCTATTTGCGACTTCGGCGCAATTCGGAATAATTTCCATCTGAAAACTGAGAAGTACTGGAGCTCCGGCTTAATTAACACTAAAACCATAGATACTGATATTAAAATTTGCCTTAGCTCAAATAAAGGTTTTATCAAAGCATCCGAAATTTTATCGAATAATTTCATCGAACGCTTGAAATATGAAGTCATGTGATGTCATATCAAAGCGACTAGTGCTGCAAGGTCATTCAAATGACATTCGAATAGCAGTAGCGTCGACGAAAAGATGTTCAAAGAAATATCGTAATAAATCTTTCTTTTAATTTTTGCATCGTTGACCTCCTTCCGGAGGTTGGTGGAATATTTTATCAGAAGTACTTTGTCAGGAATAAATGGAAAAGACGTGTTGTGAATACCGCTCACTCCCGACCCAAGGCTGCCAAGGAGGAACAACCTTGCGAATGACCTTGCCGACGACGAAGCGCGTGAGTCGAAATTTGGCAAATTTTTTCCTCCGTAATTTGAATAGAACTTGGACAAAATCCCAACACTTTTTTTCGGGGGGGGGGGTGACATGAATTAGGCAGTTTGTCATTGGAAAGTATACAGTTGCTTCTGGAAGATATTTACATCCCATTCACAGTTCGCTTTTAATTTTCAAGGAAACTGAATTGTTAATGATTGCGACAGGGTGTTTTGAAAAATGTACATATATATATATAATTAATATCAACTAAAAATGGCGAACTATCTGAAATGAAAGCACAAATTAAAAACAATTGAAGCAAAAACTTAGAAAACAGAACTTAAAATAAAAAGTAAATAAATAAAAAAATAAAACAATCATTGAACATTAAATAATAATTGATAATTCCTTGGTCTCTGTCAAAGAGCAGTGGAAAGAATTATCACCAAATTATATCTAAATTATATCTGGATGATCCGCAAAAGAAAGTAATGAAAGAAATTCTTTTTTAAATTTAGAATAAAAATAACTTTATAGTTTCTTATTTAATTAGTTTTATTTTAAATTTAAAAAGGAATTTCCTTGATTTTCATACGAATGTAATTCAAAAAAGTGACTATTTGATAA